TTTTAATCTAATGGTGAGGAAAATAATGAGTTAAAAGAGCAGCTTTGTGGAGCAGGGCAAGAATAGTCATTCATTTATGAAGCGAGCAAATGAATCTCAATTAGTGAGTGATTTCCTGCACCAAATGAGATGGTATGGTGACCATCTATAACCTGAAAGAACTCCATGACTCCATTTCAGTGTGATAAATGAAGGTGCAGGAGTTTGAATCATTTTCAGTTTAGAATAATAATTCATCCTGTCAGACTTGTGTATAAAAACACTGAATCAGTCACAAAACCACATTTGTCTAATCTTTGTATCTTTTGAATCTTTGTAAATGACTCTAAAATCACATCACTACAAAATCCTCCCGCTGTTTACCACAGAATAACAAAACCACAGATCAGTTTAACATCAGTCCTTCAAACACACACAAACCCTCATATCTTCGTTCGTTCTCACTCCCTGCTCACGAATAACACAAACCAATCCCCAAAGCTTTCCTTTCAAGTACAAAAATGCCGAGCAAGCTGTCATAAGCAGCCAGCCTCTTTCTCTGAGTCTGAAAGCGACGGGTTTTACTTATTCATGTCCGCGTGCTGTCGCATGGGTCCTGCTTTTTCAACCTCAGAGCTGCCGCTAGCCATGCTTCATCTATGTTGCATGATGGGAGTATTTATAGCTAAAGTCTTTTAGCCACCATTGGATTAATCTCATGGTAACTGATTTCCAGACATCATCACAATGATGCATATAAAACTTTTTGTCAGACAGACACTCAATTCCCATTCCATTCAGCCTGCAAAGGCTTCAAATGACCTGTTTCATGCAAGTCAACACTATCTTTTGTCTTTTTAATGAATATATTACAGGATTACTAAAAGCAACACTGTGAGATTATGGTGAGATTTACTAGCAGCAGCCCACTTTTGCACGTTAGGCCAGATTTCTACGAGGCAAAATGATTGCCATTATACGGGAGATGTGTTGCTGTTGGCCTGGGCTGCACCGCTGCTTATTCAGCAGTCAAGAGTTTTAAAAGGGCAACAGCAGATTGAAATAATCTCATTTTCCCCAGCATGAGGGTTTCAAACTGAGCTACACGCCACAGCAGGAGAGAGAGAGGGAATAAGCTTTGTTTAAATGCCCAAATCTCAGCAGTCACACTCTTTGAGGTACTACACACAGATGGCCGCTCAAAGCATATGACAGCCACAATTACACTACTACACACTGCCAGTATGCAAACACACTACTGACTGGCTCTTTTATTCAAACGGATGAAAGTTAGCGAGCCTCCAGCATGTTGAGCGATGATATGAGTTGCTAACATCAGCCGCATATGTCAGCACTTCAGCCTTTGCCTGGATGCTCATGTAGGCAATGCTACTTCGAGTCTGGCTCGCATCATTTTTTTTGTTTCTTTCACACTGTTGCCTGTCTTCTCTTTAGGGTCAATCAAAATGGGCTAAAATATTTTTCTTAAAAGTTGCCAATGTTGCAAAATAAGAACAAAACTTTACACGTTTGGTGAAAACTCTTCTTTTGATATCATAAACTTTAAAATTGCCTAATATCAATGAGATTTTATATAATAATTGTATAATTAAAATATAAAATATTATGCAATATAACAACATTATATATATATATATATATATACTGTATATATAACAATATCACATTATATTATATTATATATTATACGATATAATAGAAATATAACATAATTTAGGTGTCTATTTAAATTCCTAACCCTTA